TTCCCCTCTCCTCCCCTTCCTGTCACTCCCTTCTTGTCACTGAGCCTTTTTTTTCTGTCTCTGGCTGTAGTTCACCTCCCCCCCCCCCCGCCACCACCCTCACCATCACAATAGCGAAGGGAGGGAAATATGAATACAGAACTGTAGGTGCTCCTAAACCACTAACACCCAGAATATGTGTTAAAAATGATTGCTTTTACTAGAAGCTGGGCAATGCAGAGCCAGACAAATATATATTTATAGCATTAAATGTATGTAACATTAGATCAGGTCCATAACAAAACAGAAATTAAAAAACAAAAAGCATGGTGCTGTGGTGAAAAGATTTGCTTTAGAAAGAAAACTGGCCTCTGGGAGCTATCTTTAAAAGGGGGAGGAAAAGGAATGCTATAAAGTTGGGAAGGTGGGGTGGATCTGGGAGGATTTAAGGGGAAAATTGGGGGGGTTGACTATAAATAAAACAGATGAATGTCTCAGAGAATAAAATATTATATTAAAGTAGAAGGATAACTCTTTATATCTGCATATAATGTACCTATAAAATGATTATAAAGATTTTCTTTAAAGTTAATAAAACTAGCTGGGCATAGTGGCCACATCTTTAATCTCAGTACTCAGGATGCAGAGGCAGGCAGATCTCTGTGAGTTCAAGGTCAGCCTGATCTACAAAACTAGTATAAGGATAGTCAGGGCTGTTGCATAGAGAAACACTGCCAAGAAAGAGGGAGGGAAGAAGAAAGGGAGGGAGAGAAGAAAAAGAAAGCGCTATCGTATAATTCTTCTATCTACTGACAGCTTGATTATATAAGGAATGGCAAAAAAAAAAACAACCTTGTATTCTACTTTCTCCCCTTTTACTGGTCGTATACTAACAGGATATGCCTCTGTATTCTTCTCCTAGTGGATGCCGCTTCTTACTTTGAGCCTCTGTCCTCAGCTTTGAAGAGTCTGTCAGGGACATCCCCATTGTATCTTAATGTGCCCTGCTAGTTTTTAGTTTTCCTTTGGGCACATCCTGACATGATAGTACCTAAAATGTTCCACGCTCATTTTGTGTGGATCCAGTTTTTCCCTTCTTTGTTGCTATCGTGACCTCCCTTTCCAGCCCTATATCCTAATCTTCATTGTTAAATTTATATCCTGGCTAATGGAAATCCACCTCTGCTGATTCAATTAGCCCATCAAATCGAGTTAATAAATCCAGGTTGATTCTGAGCACAGCATTCCTGGGTAGTCCCAGGGGAAGTTGAGGAGACCACAAGGGGAAACCACAGGTGGAGGCTTTTACTGCCTCTGGAGTGGAGCCACCAATGGTGGCCTTTTTCAGGATGAAGTCTAGACTGAGGCAACTCTGAAGGAGAGGGTTTGGGGTGGAGCCTCCACCTGAATGTTCGAAACTCTTTGGATATATGGATTCCAGGGACTGAGGTGAAGCTTTCACCTAAACATCCCAGACTCTGGGTACATGGGCACTTGTTCATGTCTGATTGTTTCCTGCAGTCATGGGATGATACAGGGAGGGGGAGAGTTGGAAGTCAGTGGGCTCATGCTCAGCGCAATGTTGGCTGGAGGGGCATCAGCTTAACTGCCATCCTGGAGACCTTAGACATCTGTTTCTTGAGAGAGCTGAGAATACAGGTTGCTAGGAGAAAAAAATATAGATTGTTATCATTAGCCCTATGAACAGAGCTAGCCATGGGAAGGGTGATTAACTGCCAGAAAGAACGGGACAGAGAAGTGCCCTGGTTATACAGAAAAGGTAAGGGTGAATGAACAAGACATGAGAGCAGATGTGCCTTTTAAAACCAGATTCCTGAGATTTCATCTTACACCTGTAAGAGTGGCCAAGATCAAAAACATTGATGACAACTTATCCTGGAGAGGTTGTGGGGTAAAGGGAAAACTCCTACACTGCTGGTAAGAATGCAAGCTGGTACAACCCCTTTGGAAGTCAGTGTGGCGATTTCTCAGAAAATTAGGAAACAACCTTCCTCAAGACCCAGTAATACTACTTTTGGGAATATATTCAAAGGATGCTACAAGGACATGTGCTAAACTAACTACGTTCATAACAGGATTGTTTGTCATAGCCAGAACATGGAAGCAACCTAAAGATCCTTCAACCGAAGAATGAAGATAGAAAATGTGGTATATTTACACAATGGAGTACTACACAGCAGAAAAAAAATAATGACATCTTGAATTTTGCAGGCAAATGGATGGAGCTAGAAAACATCATTTTGAGTGAGGTAACCCAGACCCAGAAAGGCAATTATCACAGGTACTCAGTCATAAGTGGTTTTTAAATATAAAGCAAGGAAAATCTGCCAACAAATCACAATCCGAGAGAACCTAGACAACAATGAGGACCCAAAGAGAGACATGCATACATAGAAATAATCTACATGGGAAGTAGAAAAAGACAAGATTCCCTTATTTAATTGGGAGCAAGGGGAACTTGGAAGATGGTTGAAGGGGAGGGGCAGGGAGGAGAGCCAGGGAGAGGCAGGGAAAGAAAAATGTAGAGCTCAATAAAAATCAATTAAAAAAAGAAATAGTAGTATGCAAAAAATATTTTTACAAAACAGATTCCAGTTGCTGGGTAGGTACCCATTTGAGTCTGGAGAGGTGGTTCCAATGGTGAAGTCCCAGGAGATGGTGCAGGCACTAGCCTATCTGAAAAATCCTTTGCACTTTGTCCTTGGCTTTAACAGTGCTGTGACCTGTAAGATAAGCTCAAAAATGGGTGGGGTCAAAATAGGCCCCAGAGACTGTTAGTTTTCACCAGACCAGATTTTTTGATACAGCAGCAGAACTTCTCCTGGGAACCTGCAGGTGTCTGTAAGAAACCTGGAACCGATTTACATCTTGGCATCAAAGCAAAAGGCTATGACGTTAGATTAAAAGGCATGAAAGTTTTAGAAGACAATTAAAGGAAAATTTAAACCTTCTGAACCTCTGAAGTTACATCTGAAACCTGGCTATCCTGGACTATGAAGCCTATGAACGAGGCACACCTGTCTGTATTTTTAGCAGGAAACTTAACTAATAAACTAATGAGCTACCAGTACCGTAAGTCATCAAATGCCATCACACAGATCTGGAAGGAAGGCAATCCCGTCTCTCTGTGCTCTTTGGCCAACACCCGTCTTTGAAACCTTTAGCTGCTAAGCCCAGGAGGCCTGACGCTCATCAGTAGGAACACCACCGCCAGAAGTCATGGGGCAGGTGGCAACCAGGCCCTTAGGGTTTGCTCCGCCAGAATTCCCACTGAACAAATAACCTTAACCCCATCATGCTGGGGACAAGCAGGTGGAACTTTCCAAGAAGCTGTCTTGGTTTCCATTGGGATGTGACAAGCTGGTTCAGGTTCCTGCTGTGCCCCTTTTGCTATGATGACGAAAACCTGTGGGTTCAATGAAAGCCTTTCTCCTCTAAGTTGCTTTATGTCAGGATATTTTATCTGAGGAAAAGGAGTGAAACTAGGACAAATGGCAGCTCCACTGTGTAAAGGTTAATCTTGAGTGACATGGCTGGATTTGGAACCACCTAGGAGACACATCTTTGGGCTCTTTGATAGTGTTGTTGGCAGAAAGAGATACATGTACTGTGTAAGGGGAGGCCAATGAGTCAGAACCAAACAGTTCTGTCATAATTATGATTACGGGATGTTATGTTTCAAACCGAGGACAAATGGCTGAGGTGTCTATTTAACACATCAAAGCCAACCTGGCCTCTGGTTTCTCCCAGCATTCCTCAGTCTCTACCTGTTACAGGGTATGGCTCTCATACCCTACCCTAGACCCTGAGCTCACAGGACCAGGGGCTGGGCTGCCCTTCTGCCAGAGACTCTTCCCTATATAATCCAGATATTTTGGTTACAGGACTCCTGGCTGCTAACCTGACTCCCATCTTCTCCTTCACTTCCCTTCCTCCTCTCCCTGAACGAACCAGTTCAGTTTGCTTGTGTCCTCTCTGGATCCTCCCAGATGTCCCTATCTGGACCTACATTGTCCCTTTTATCTATAATAAACTTCCTCCTCCGCCATACCAAGGAGCAATTGTGTTCTTCCTTTTCCTTTTTATTTATTTGTTTTTCATTCATAGGCAAGCACATCTTTTGCTCGCTTATGCACATCCATGCTTCAAATACAATTGCAAAATACATCAAGGAGAGAATTGTCCAAAGCCTTGAATCACTTGATCAAGCACGACATGTTCCCAGAAGCTCAGCGGGAGAAAATCTCAACTGTGTACAGAAGCCAAGAGCACAGCCCTGCTGCAAAGTCCTAGCCATCTTGGAATCTCTAAAAGGTGATTCTCCATTTCAGAACACCCCTAGAACAGAGGAACACACAGCAGCCACGAGACCAAGCAAGACACACCAAGTTTTCTTTGGTCGATTGTTTTTTAATTCTCAACTCACCCCAATCTAGCCCTAGATGTTGATATGTCCCCTGCATTGCCAAGGCGCCCTGCTCAGGTGTCTGATCACCTCACGGACAACAGTAATTCTTATCTCCTAATTACTGTGGGGCTGCCGGGCCCAATTCAGAGCAATTTGTTCCCTGGGAATTCCTCTGCTTCATTTTCAGTAAGAGGCAGGTAAACATTCTTCCCAGAGTGCTCAGTGGAGTGCTCCCCACATCATCTAGACTGTGAAAGATTTTCCTATATTTCTATCTCCCCCATCACATGCATCGTGAGTGCACTGTTAGCTTACAGTTAGTGCTTGTTAGCTCATACCTGTTCAACTTTGAAGCAAGAGACTGACTCAAACTTAACCACTGTATCTAACCTTCTCTTCACTGTAAAAATGCCCTTGGCTCAGCTTCAAGGAAGTGACCGTTAAAGAATCAATGCCCAAGATTCAGTAGATACCTAGCCAAGAGTCTTCTGGAACGTTGGAGAAGACGTCACACTCGTGCCTTAAAAGGAGTGAGCTGCTTTAAGAGAAGTGATTCTTTTTCTCTCCCGACAGAAAATAAGCCCCGATTGTGAAGAACTTTTTGCCGTAGCCTGTCTCCAGGGGAACCAGGGCTACGAGTAGGCCAGGCCGAGGCCGCCCACCAGAGAGGCTGTGAGAAGTGTTGGAGATAGTGAACTGTGGGTACCTGCCCTGAGTGGGTGGACCGACTAAAACAGGAAACTCTACGTCTGTATGGAGGAGGGACGGGAGCCAGAAGACTCCCAGCAGTCCGCCGGGGCTGGGGTAACCAGGGAAGCTGGAAGGGTAGAGGGGCAAGGAGTCCCAGAAGATGTAGATGTTGTGAGGGCCCCTGAGGAGGCAAGACAAGTGGGGGTGTCTGAAGTCGCCGTGGATTTAAACTTGTTGAGGGTCCCTGAGAGGGCAAGAAGGGTGGAAAGAAGGCCTGGAGTCTCCAGGGATGTAAGCATGGTGAGGGGCTCAGATGAGGACCAGATGGGAATCCTGGAGGAGGGAGGAAGAAGGATAAAGACGGTGAGAGTCCAGGAGACAGAAACTGGGGAGGAATCTGGGCTGTCCGGAGAGATCAGTGAATTGTCAGCGATCCCTAAGGGCAAGGTGCCAGGAAGGTCCAAAGGGAAGAGGAGGAATCGCCAGCATGAACTGGAGGAGAAAGTGGGTGGGCAACAGAATCAAGAAAGCCATTTAGGCCAGCAGAGGCCGGACCGGGAGGAGTACTTAGAGCCCTACTTGGAAGGGACAGTGCAGCGCTATCGCTCCCGGACAATGAAACACAAGGGCTTAGTTGACAGTCTGATTCAAGCCAAGTACCGCCTGGAGAGGAAGCCCAGTCTGAGGAGCCGCGCTGGATCTTTGGCTCAGGGCCGCTTGAGCCTGGCACCCCGATCGTCCCTGGCTTCTGGACCGTCCCTGGCTCCTGGATTGTCCCTGACTCCTGGATCGTCCCTGGCTCCTGGATCGTCCCTGGCTCCTGGATCGTCCCTGGCTCCTGGATCGTCCCCGGTTCCCAGTGTATCCCTAGTGCCTCGGAAGTCTCTGGCGCCCCAGGTGTCCCTGGGTCTGGGCTCACAACGTTCCAGCGCCTCGAAGAGAGCGAGCTCCACTTGGTATCAAGAGCCAGAGCTGGAATACCGGCGGCCCCCCATACGCTTCAGCCTCCGCCCCAAGACATCTCGCCGCCTGTCTCAGCGGTCAGACACCCCCTGCATCTCGCTCGTCGGTGCCTTCAACGAGCTGGCAAAGATGGGTGACCCGGACCTGTTGGAGATGGTGGAGGAGGAAGGTAGGACCGCAGGCTGGCGCTGAACAGGCGCGTGAAATTTCTCTGCAGGCGGTTCCTGGGGAAAGTTCGCAGCCTGGTAAGCCCTGCCCTGTGCCTTGCTTGCCAGGTGGAGGGTGACATTCTGTGCCCCGCGATGTACCCCGATCCACCTGTGCACCTGGGACCTGCAACCTGTGACTCCCTAGGATATCCGGGCATCTGTCTAGGACCCCTCTGACATCGAGTGATTGGTGTGTTGTGGTGCCCCCGGCCAGGGTTTCCCAAGGATAGTCTGCACAGTTGGCGACGCTTCTGTAAGGAACTTGTTCTGATGTCTTCCTGTCAGCTCTCTGCAGACCTTCAGACAGGTTTTGAGACAGTGATTACAGGATGGACTTACCCTAAGGTCTAACAGCTCTTGGAACACTATGGGGTGTGTGTGTGTGTGTGTGTTTGTGTGTGTGTGTGTGTGTGTGTGTGTGTGTGTGAGAGAGAGAGAGAGAGAGAGAGAGAGAGAGAGAGAGAGAGAGAGAGAGAGAGCTTTAAATGAAGCCTTATTTCTGTTGAAAACACTAGTGAACTTTTACGGAGGCTTACACTGACCTATATTTTGTCGATTTATAGTTTAGTTAACACATTTTTTCCTAAACATAGTTTTCCTTCTGGAACTACTAAGTCTCAGTTCTCTTAGTAATTCTGGATCTTTTATTTGTTTGTTGTGTTCTTTTTTCCAGTATTTTGGACATAAAAGGTGTTCTGGTATTGGAAGAGGAGAAGATAAAATCTCTCACTCTGTAATCCAGCAGATTTTGTACTCATGGCAGAACTCCAGTTGCAGACTGGGTGTGGAGTGCTCAGTAGGCAGGAGCTCCTGGCTCCATTAAAATAAAATGATAAGAAGATACACTTGTAGTCTTCCTATTTGGTCTTAACGAGACCAAGAATATTGTTATTGTCTCCCCCACACCCATTATTTTTCTTTTTGAAACAGAGTCTCACTGTGTAGTCAGTCTAGGCTGGCCTCAAACACACAGATATCTGCCTACCTCTGCCTCCCAAGTGCTGGCATTCAAGGCTTGGGACACCACCATACTGCACTTCTCTCTTCCCTTTTAAAAATGGCTTTTCATTGAGACATAATCTTCATCCAATAAAACTTACCAGTTAAGTGTGCAGTTAATGGCTCCTGCATATTTAGTTTTGTGACCATTGCCATAGTCATTTTTACATCATCTAATAATGCTCTCTGTAGCCATTTCCAGTTCCTGTGCCTTGTGTCTCTGTAGATTTCCTTCTCTCAGACATTTCAGATGAATAGAACCATGAAGTCTGTGCTCTGCTAAAACTGGCTTCTATATCTTTTATTTCCTGGTTTTGGGAGACAGGTTTTCCTGTGTAGCTTTGTTGTCTCTCCTGGAATTAGCTCTTGTAGACCAGGCTGGCCTTGAACTCAGAGAGATATGCCTGCCTCTGCCTCCCAAGTGCTGGGATTAAAGGCATGTAGCACCATTGTTTGCCTTATATCTTGATATGTTTCTGAGGTTCAGTCACGTAGTACACCATTCCTTTTATTTGGCAAGTGGTATTCCATTGTGAAGGAATGCCACGCTCATTCCTTCATCAAATCCTGGGCATAAAGTTAATTTCCCTCTTTATGCTACAGTGAATATACAACAATGAACATTCATTTCTAAGTTATTGTTTAAACATTGTTTCTCATTTTTCTTGTGTCTATCTCAGAAGGTCCATGAAACATGTGGTCACTCTGTATTGACTAACTTAAGCCAAGGCCACAGTTTTCTAAGGGTCTGCATAGTTTTTTTTAATCTAACAGTTGGCCTCTATGTCTTTTTTGAATGAAAAATATGAAACAAAAAATATATGCGATGTGATAGTTTCTAAGCAATAAAAAAATATTACATTGCAGTCACATGGAGATGAACTATTTCATTTTTCAGTCATATGTAGCTCCATGTGATTTAGTCTTAAGGTAAGCCTACTTACTAGAAGCTGTGGGTTAGCAACCCTTTGTCATGAGAACAAATGTAGCTTCTGTCTCTCCAAGGACTTTCAGAACATTCCTGAGGCTCATCTCTTTTTATAGCAAATGACATTGTGGGGTGTCTTTCCTTATATAATCACAGTTATCTCTCTTATTTGAGTGGATATGGGAGAAAATTATGTTGATAAGAAGTCTGGTGTCTGCATCCTGTCCATATGTCTGGAAATGGCAGCAAGACACTTGGGAGAGCAGGGACTCGGCAGCACAGTTCCCCGGACAACTCCTATCTTTCCAGGTGTAAAATGAGAAAGTCCCATACTTTGCTTTATTGGTCTGGAAGCCCATTTATTATAGCTGCTTCTCTGTTGCTGTGAGGGGATGCCATGACTAAGGCAATTTATAAAAGAAAATGTTCATTGGGACTCACAGTTCCAGATGACTAGAGTCCATGACCATCATGGCAGAGTTCTGGTTCACAGACATAATGCAGAGGGAGGAAGAGAAAGAGAGAGAGAGAGAGAGAGAGAGAGAGAGAGAGAGAGA